ACACACACACACACACACACACACACACACACACACACACACACACACACACACACACACACACACACACACACACACACACACACAGAGAAATACTCACTCTTCATCTCCTGCACCACGTCCCCCACACAGTCCAGACGGCCGATGTTCTTGAGAGCGCTAGTGAGGACAAAGACTGTGGAGCCCGAGCGCCGTGACCAGTGGATGAGACTGGCAGACAGGGAACCCTGGGGATATAGGATAAAGTGGATAAAGTGAGATGAGATGAGATGAGAAGAACATTTGATGAGATGAGATGAGATGAGATAAGGTTTCTGGGCCAGGCTGGCAGACAGGGAACCCTGGGGATATAGGAAAAAGTAAGGTGAGATGAGATGAGATGAACATTTGATGAGATGAGATGAGATGAAATTAAAATTTGATGAGATGAGATGAGAAGAGAAGAGATGAGATAAGATGAGATAAGGCTTCTGGAAGGTTGGAGGACAGGGAAACCTGGGGATTCACGACAAGGGTACGAAAAGATAAAATGAGATGAGATGAGATGAGATTAAAATTTGACGAGATGAGATTACAATCTTATGAGATGAGATGACATTAAAAGAAGATGAGAAGAGATGAAATGAGATGAGATCAGGCTTCTGGACCAGACTGGCAGACAGGGAACCTTGGGGGACACACGACAAAGGGGGGGGGGGTACGATAAGATAAAATAAAATGAGATGAGATAAGATGAAAATTTGATGAAATGAGATGAGATTAGACGAGATCAGATGGATATTATAAAAGAATAGACAGACCCAGGAAAAGCTGGGTAGAGGGGGTGAGAGAAACTTTAATAGTCAAAAGTCAATTTTATAACTAACTATGCAACAGAAACAACAAACAATGAGTTTGACGCTCGCTTCTCTCTTCGACACCTTAAGGTAATAGAGGCCGGAAAAAGTAAAATAAGCAGGAATACAAATACACTACTGCTAGTTTCGTTTTAGCGAGAGTTTCAGAGATTTAAAAAAAATTAAGTAGAGGTTTTACGGCGCTCGCAACTGCATAAGGTCATATGAGCCCCAAAGTGTGGATGTCAACAGAGAAGTCCTTACATTGAATCAGACTTACTCTGCTCACCTCTCTAGCTTCAACAGCACAAAGTCTGCTTTGACTTTCAGGGCACCCCGGAAATAGCGGGTTACAAGAGAGTGATAAACATACAAAAGAAGTAGAGGAAAAAATGACGATAGTAAGGATTAGGAAAGAAAAGGCAGCAGTTCCCTGTTGCAGTTCAGGCACAGTTATGAGCATGACATTGTTGAATAAGCCCATATTTACAATTACAATTCTACTGAGCATAAGAACATGGTTAATGTCCCCCCCCCCCTCCTTTGGGAATGGCCAAAAGACACTTCAGTCAGTAGCACCGCCCCGGGGGGTGGGGGGTGGGGGTAGATTACAGGTGTTATTGGAGAGTAACAGACAGAGTAAGGGTGGGGTAGGAGGGAATTGGATTAGGTTGTAAGATTATAACACCTTGGTGGACACACAAACACACACACACACATAATGCATAACATACACACATACACACGCACACACACACACATAATGCATAACATACACACATACACACGCACACACACACACACATAATGCATAACATACACACATACACACGCACACACACACATAATG